CGCGGCCGGCGGGGAGGGCGGCCTCGACTCTCCGGGCTTCAGAAGCTCTGCTCCACTCTGCCTCCGGCCTCGCTTGCCGGCCTCCCGCATCACCGAGTCCGGCTTCGCCCCCCTTGGAAGGACTGCGGTCCTGGTGGCCCTGGTGACCGCATTTTAACTTAATGACCTCGTGAGCACCCCCTCCCCGTGAAGGGCATATCAGAACTGCTCAGGCCTTGTGCGTATCCCACATCATTCACCTTCATTTCTTCCGTTAGTAAAGCTTCAACTTGCAAAACAGGTTTAACATTGAATCTCTCCACAACTATTCTATTTATAAATTAAATAAATAAGAAATGCCATTAGGCCGAGCGCCACCTGTAATCCCAGCAGCTTGGGAGGCTGAGGCCGGAGGATGGCGAGTTCAAGGCCAGCCTCAGTAACTTATAGAGGCCCAAAGCAACTCAGAAGACCCGGTTTCTAAATAAAATATAAAAATGGTTTGGGGATGTGGTTCAGTGGCTAAGTGCCCTGGATTCAGTCCCTGGTATCAAAAAATTAAAAATGGCATTAAATGTTTAAAATATGTATATGCTCTAAATATTTACGAATTTGGTAAGTGGTACTGGGGATCGAACTCTAGTGCTTGTGAGGCAAGCACTTGACACTGAGCTACACACCAGCCCCTGATTTTAAGTTCTTAAATCCCTAAATGATGCTTTTTGAAAATTGAAGTGTTATATTCAAGAAAAATAAAACAAATATATGATTTTAAGCCATATAGTACTAAAAGCTTTTGATGAAGAGCATTCGTCCAGCCCATCCCCTCCCTGTCACCATCCAGCTCCTACAGGTAACCATTGTGAGCGTTGATTTCTTCTGCCTTTTCCTCCCATAAATCTAAGTAATATGATTATACTATTTTTTTTTTCAATTTTAGACACTATCTGTCAAATTCATTCTATACAAATTAGGACATAGTTATTTTTCCAACATTTTCCCAACTCACATGTACTCCCCTTTCCTATGATTTTCAAATAGTAATACCATTGATTTTTTAGCTAAATCAGTATTCAGTATTTACATCGTTGTTTCTATAAACACTGTTCCCAACTCAGCCACAAGGTTTACTATAATTACATTTCTTTCTAACAGAACTGTTTGTGTTCCTCTGGGTTTACTTTGCTAATTTCCTTTTTCTTTTTAAAATTTTTTATACATTTATTTTTTTAAGAGCGAGAGAATTTTTTAATATTTATTTTTTAATTTTCAGTGGATACAACATCTTTATTTATTTTTTTTAATGTGGTGCTGAGGATTGAACCCAGCAACCTGCACATGCCAGGCGAGCGCACTACCACTTGAGCCACATCCGCAGCCCTATATCTTTATTTTATTTATTTATTTTTATGTGGTGCTGAGGATCACTGAAACTTCGGACGGAGTCCTGCACATCTGAACACAATTTTTCTTCTACCCTCACACTTGGCCAATAACTAGAGAACTCTAGAACAGAGATCCCTCAGCAAGCAGAAAGCCACACTTTATCTTCTATGTCCAGTCCAATGAGATGTCCCAATTGGGACTTCCAGTGCTGGAACCCGGGTTTTTAGATATATCTAGGTTTTCTCTTTCAACACTGTTTAGAACTTCTCACTATCCCCTATGCTCTGAAATGTCATAAGTGCACCGTTCCTGTGTCCTAGGTGACTAGAGTAGTGCTGGGCCATAATAGGTGCTCAGTAAATACTGGTGAAAAAAATCAAACTCCACATTCTGGCCATTCCTCAGGCCTTTCTGCTCAGAAATGTTCCCATCCACTCTAGAAACACTTTGGTGAAGAATGTTTCTGATGGAGATTTCATAATCTCCTTCATCTGAATTTTTTCTTTTTCTGGGATGCTATTCTTCAGAGGTCAGACATGAGTTGATGCTTTGATTTTCCTCACTCTTCCATCAGCCAGGCCTCTTTTGTTTATCTCCTAAACAATTCCCGTGAACTACCTAAACTAYCTTCCTACTTTCTTTCTACACTTTTTTTGTGTTGACTATGGATCCAGGGGCACATAGATGGAGACAATAGAACTTCCAATCATAAAGTTGAATTCTGAGGGAAAAAATTGAAAGGAAAACAAAAATAAATCCAGAAACAAAAATGCTTCATTATACAATATGTACATGKCAAACTGTTAGATCATACAAAAGAAAAATAGAGAAACAGAAGGATTTTTCAGATGTTGCTTCTAATTTGCTTCAACAAATCGGTTGATTCCAGAAACCAGGTGACCTTAAAAATTTCTTTCCTTAAGGTGGGATATTCTCCTCCCTCTTACTGCTTTTCAGTGGCTTCCAATTACTACTCCTATTATTATTATTATTTTGGTACTGGGGTATTTAACCACTGAGCCACAACTCCAGCCCTTTTTGGGTGGGGGGTACCAGGGATTGAACTCAGGGGCACTTGACACTGAGCCATATTTTATATAGAGACAGGGTCTCACTGAGTTGCTTAGCGCCTCACTATTGCCGAGGCAGGTTTTGAACTTGAGATCCTCCTGTCTCAGCCTCCGGAGCTGCTGGGATTAAAGGCGTGTGCCACCATGCCTGGCTCCATTCCTTTTAAATTTTTATTTTTGAGACAGAATCTCACTAAGTTGTTGAGACTGTCACCTAAATTGATCAGACTAGGACTTCTGATCTTCTTGCCTTAGCTTCCCAAGTCTCTGGGATTACAGGTGTGGGTCACTGCATCCAGCTGTCCTTTGACATTTTTCTAGTGTCAAAAGATGGGCTGGGGATGTGGCTCAAGCGGTAGCGYGCTCGCCTGGCATGCGTGCGGCCCGGGTTCGATCCTCAGCACCACATACCAACAAAGATGTTGTGTCCGCTGAGAACTAAGAAAATAAATATTAAAAAAAAAAAAAAGTTATATAAAAAAAAAGATAAATTCACAACATACTTAGTTTTAGGTTGAATTGGATTTTGTTCCAGATTCAAGAATTGGGGCAGCCTCCATTCTTCAGAACAGAATGAGAGCTCCCACTATGCAAAAACAGAACCATGGGTTTTATAAGGTGGTAACAGAACAATAGAAAGAAAGCTGATGGGTTAGTGTCAAGTTGTATTATTTTGGCAGGAGTGAAAGCAAAGCTGACTTGGGTAGACTGGATCTCCTGTTTTGGGGAAAAACTAGTGTGTTTTGGGATCTATTTGCTTAAATTTTCAGTTTGATGGTGGCATTTAGCATGAGTGACTCCATTTTGGTTTGGTCTGGTTTGTTGTGGGCTAGTGTGGAAGTTCCTCCCAAAATGATGGCCTCCCATAGTGTGTGTATATATATATATATATATATATATATATATTATACCTTTATTTTGTTTACTTTTATGTGGTGCTGGGGATCGAACCCAGTGCCTCACCCATGCTAGGTAAGTGCTCTACCATTGAGCCAAAACTCAGCCCCTGCAATAGTTTTTTAACACTACTAATTTTTTTTTAAACCATAAAAAAATTTAAGCCAGGTTTCRTAGCACATGCCTTTAATCTGAGCTACTTGGGAAGTTGAGGAGAGGATCCCAATTTCAAGGCAATAAATTAAAAAGGACTGGAGGTGTAGCTCAGTGGTAGAGGGCCTCTAGGTTCAATGCACAGTACCACACCCACACCCACACAGGATATTTTAAGATTTTTGTATTATATGTTTCAAATCAGTTTTTCCGAATGTTGTCTTAATCTTTTAGATAATAGCCTGTGTCCACACTAGAGTGGAGAAGAGGGAATTTGTGTATAGACTTTTCTATATGTTGGTAGAATATTGCTGGTGAGTGATTTTCTACATTTAAATTGTGAATGCCGGGCTGGGGATGTGGCTCAAGCGGTAGCGTGCTCGCCTGGCATGCGTGCGGCCCAGGTTCGATCCTCAGCACCACATACCAACAAAGATGTTGTGTCCGCCGAGAACTAAAAAATAAATATTAAAAAAAATTGTGAATGCCTTTTAACCTATTAACTCCTATCAAAACAATCACACGAATGTTTAAAGATATGTACAAGGATACTTTCTGGTCTTGTTTGTAATTGTGAAAAATAAAGCATTTTTAGGAAAAATTATATCATGTAATATAACACACCTGTTAAAAAGCATAGATTTAGGGGCTGGGGCTGAGCGGTAGCACACTTGCCTGGCATGTGTGAGGCACTGGATTAGATTCTCAGTACCACATATAAATAAATAAATATATATCAACAATTTTAAAAAATTTTTAAAAAAGCATAGGATAGCTCTCTATGTGCCAATATTGAAAGGTGACTAGCCAGTCACATGCCATATGACTGTAATTCCAGTAACTCTGGAGACTCAAGAAGAAGGATCACAGGTTTCAGGCCAGCCTCTGCAACTTGGCAAGACCCTGTCTCAAAATGAAAAAATTAAAATTAGAAAAAGTCTGGGGATGTAATGGTAAAGCGCCCCTAGGTTCAATCCTCAGAACCCAAAACAAACTCAGAGTGACTATAATATATTAAATGAAAAAAAGAAAACTATAGAAGAATATATATGATTTATCTATAGCTTTCAATTATGGGAAAATTTGTCCAAATACATAATCAGAAATTCCAAGAGAGAGTGAGAGAGGAGAGAGAGAGAGAGAGAGAGAGAGAGAGAGAGAGAGAGAGACAAGAAAAAAGAAAAACGTACAAATTCATTGGGTAATCGCTGGTACCAGACCAGTAGATGCTCAACTTCGGGATGAGGTGGCAAAGAAGAGGTGTCATTTAACGTCAGAGTTTTCGAGCTAGTAGAAGTTGCAGGATCTCTTCCGCGTTTCAGGCTCGGAATTGCTGAGTGACAGCCGGGAGACTCCAGCCCGCGAGGGTTTAAATTTGAAGCGGCGGCGGCGGTCGCTAAGTAACCACGCAGAGGAGGCGGGCCGCATTGCGCATGCGTATGTTGGCAGGCTTCTGCGCACGCGCGGCTCCACCTCGGGGGCGGTCAGGGCCGACGGTTGCCAGGGTGACGAGGATACAATATGGCGGCTGTATCCTAACGCTCTTGGGCAAGGGGCCACCGCGGAGGTCCCAGCACAGGATCCCGCCTCAGGGAGAGGAGGGCAGGTCCCGGTCTTCCTGCCCTTGTCTTTTCCGCGCAGGGTCGGCCAGGGGTTGTCGCCGACTCTCGCGCGCAGGATGAAGAGTGAGTGAGCCGGGAGGGCCGGGCCGGGCCGTTCTGGGGGCTGGGCGGGCRAGTGCCGCTCTGCCCCGGCGCCGGGCGGTGCAGGCCGGAGGTGCGGGAGCCGGGTTTTCAGAGCCGCGCCGGGCGAGGTTCCGTTTCTGAACGTTCCGGGTGGCCGTGGGCGCTCGCAGCCGGCGCCCTGCCAGGGTGAAGTGCTCGGCGTGCAGTCGCCGGACCTGGGCGTGCGTTTCWTTTTTGGGGTCGAGCAGTAGTGTTTCTATAGCAGCTGGGTTCACAGGAACTTAGAAGCATCCTTTTAGTGACATTAGAAACGGTTACTTAGAAGTTGGGAAGTGGGCCTCATCCTAGAAAAGGGGTAAAARAAAGTTTGCCCGCGTTGGGTTTGTGGATCGTGGCCGATCTGCGGCCAGCAGCGCGGCTCGCTGTCGTGTTCAGCATCACTCTTCAGGTATTGTCGTTTATGGCTGTCAGCCAGAGGCGCTTACAAGTTCAGCCTCCTTTGGTGTTTCAAGTTGGAACTATGCTGGTTATATTAAACCTGCATTGTATCCTAATTGTTTTTTGTGAATGCTGTAAATTGCACGATATATTAAAACATATCCGTCTTTGCCTCATACACTCTTCACGCTGCACTCCAAGAAGTGACTTCTCTTTTCAGTTTCCTAAATATGTGCGCATGTATGTGTGTGTGTGTGTGTGTGTGTGTAAATATGTATCTATCCCTCTCAAAGTTAGCTGGTGTGGTGGAGCACACCTCTAATCCCAGCAACCCTGGAGGCTGAAGCTGGAGGATCTAAAGTTCAAGACCAGTCTCTGCAAATTCTGGAAGCCCTAAGCAACTTAGGCTCTGTCTAAAAAGAAAAAAATAAAATAAAAAGAACTGAGGGTGTGGTTCAGTGGCTAAGCACCCTGGTTTCAATTGCTGACACCAAAATATAAATAAATAAAAAAATAAAATAAAGAAAAAAACCCCTAATGTTAGTAACTACATATAGGCATATGTATATATGAGTATATAAAGTACATATGTATGGGCTGGGGTTGTGGCTCAGTGTTAGAGCACTCACCTAGCATGTGTGAGGCCCTGGGCACCACATAAAGATAAATAAGTAAAGGTATTGTGTCCATCTACAACTAAAAAATATTTTTAAAAGTATATATAATTTGCATTTTGTGTTTTATGCCCTAAAGAGGCTTAACCACTTAGCTAAATCTCCAGCCCTTTTTTAAATTTTTGAATTTTGGGATAGGGTCTTGTATTGCAGACGCTGTCCTGGAACTCCCAATCCTCCTGCCTAAGCCTCCAGAGTAGTTGGGATTACCTATGTGTGCCCCCACCCTGGCTCATCTCAGATGGTCATTTTGGTAGCTTTCAGTTACTTGGTTTAGTGATAACATCTTTTCCCTTTCTTTATTCTATTTTAAAATCCAGTCCGAGAGTTCATGCAGCCTCTCATCTCTGGTTTAAGACCTGATCATGAATTAAATGTTTTACAAGTAGTTAACAGTGGAGAGAACATTTCAGAACAGAAAATCACAGAGACGGAATCATAGAAGCAGAATGAACAGGAAAAGTGAGTAATGGTGCAAGTTGGACCCATAGCATGGGGTCAGAATACACCTGGGCATGCTAGATTATCATGTTGGTCTTTAATTTTTGGATTTTCCAGGTATTCTTTCTTATTGTTTTCTAGGCAGTGCTCGCTCACATGTGTAGGGATGCTTTGATCAGTCTGTAGTGTATTGCTGTCCTTCTCCTTTTTGTTTTGGATCATTTGTGTAGCAGGGAGCAACCAGTTAATGCTGTGTAATTGCTGAAGCTGAGCAGACATGATGGCAGCTTGGGGCCAGTCTCTGACCTTTCTTTATCATCCTGGTTTTCTTTTCTAGGTATGTATCACTAAGCAAATCACCCCAACTTAGGGACTTAACAACACACTTTTCTTATGGTTCTGTGGGTTGCCTCCACTCAACTAGGCAGCTCTCACTGGGAGTCTCATGAATTTGTAGTCATGATAGATGGTGGTTGGAGTTGAAGTCATCTTGAAAGTCTCATTCACTTGTCTGGCAGATGATGCTGGTGGTTCTCTGGGACCACAGCCTGGGCTGTCAGAACCCTACATGAGGTCTCTCCTTGTGGCTTGGGCTTCCTCACATCATGGCAGTTGAGTTCTGGGTGTATATCCCAAGAGTAGGAAGTGGAAGTGGGCAGCTGCCTGAATGGTGACCCACACCTGTAGTGAGGCTGAGGCAGGAAGATACTTGAGCTCACAAGTTTGCAACCAGTCTGGTCAACATACTGAGACCCACCTCAAAAAAAAAAAAAGTTTATCCTTATGTAATAAGTCTGTGTGTGTTAGTACTCTAAAAATTAAAGTATCATTTTTTTCCTGTTTGAACATTAGTGTGTGTGTGTGTGTGTGTGTGTGTTGCTAGAGATTAAATCCAGAGGTGCTCTACCACTGAGCTATACCCGCATCCTTTTTATTTTTTTAATTTTGAGACAGGATCTCACTAAGTTGCCCAGGCTGGCCTCAAACTTGTGATCCTCCCACCTGAGGTTCCAGAGTTGCTGGCATTACAGGTATGCACCACCATTGTACCCAGCTCCTGTTTGAACTTTTTAATAGATTAGTTGAGCACACCTACAGAAATAGGAAAAAAATTACATGTTCTATAGTAATGGTTTTGCTGCAATATTACAGAGAGATTTAAAAAAATTATCTGTTGGGGCTGGAATTGTGGCTCAGTGATAGAGTGCTTGCCTAGCATGTTTGAAGCACTGGATTCAAGCCTCAGCACCGCATAAAAATAAATAAATAAAAGGTATTGTGTCCATCTACAAACTAAAATTTTTGAAAAATTATCTGTTGTAATTATAATAATTTTGAATGGTCTCTTAAATACCAATATTTTTTCATAGAATCAAAGTTTCAAGGTTATCTCCATCTTTTTCCATCTTCTCCTTCCTAGTGGGTGTATTACCTCCTGTTTTTTATAAATGGTTGCATCAACTAGCATCTTTTTTTTCTTGAAAGAAAGACAAAATTAAGTAAAAGCAATACTGACTTTGTGGTAAATTCTGCCAGTAGATTTTAAGGTGGTCTCAGGACCCTCCACTACTTGGCATAATGAGTCCTGGTTAACATTTTCTTTCTTTTTTTATATATATATTTTTTTAGTTGTTGATGGACCTTTATTTTAAATGCTTATTTACATGTGGTTCTGGGAATCGAATGCAGTGCCTCACACGTGCAAGGCAAGCGCTCTACCGCTGGTCTACAACTCCAGTCCCCTAGTTAACATTTCCTTAGATGTAATTTTCATGGATATTTTCTGTGTATGAATATATATATTTACTACACACACACACACACACACACCACACACACATTCCTTAGACAAACACCCCCAGATAAATGGGATTACATTAAATATGTTGTAACTTGCTAGGATGATGCTTCCATGAAATTGTTTGAACACAAACCTTTGAGTAATTCTGTGAGTTTATCACTGTGTACTTTATTAGCAATGGACTTACTGGGGTAGTGGGTGTGGTTTTAAATTTAAAATTTTAATGAATTTTTGAATAATTTTATGTCCTTTTGTGTTGGTGTGTGTGCTGGGTTTTTGTTTGATTTTGAAGACCTGTGGAAATAGACCCCTTGCTGAGTGGTTTTTGTGGTGATGGTTTCTCTTTTCCTCTCCCTACCTGCCAACCCTGTTGGACACTCCAGATTTTCCACCTGCTGGAAGACCCCAGCTGGAAACTACCCTTCACCTACCACCACTTTCTCCTGGTGTCATGCTCCCTCCTGGCTGGTTGTGACAGTCTGGAGCCAGCCTGGGGTGTTGGCACACATTCTGAGTTTGTGCACTTAAAACCATTTTAAAGTTTACAGGTGGGCTGGGGTGTGGCTCAGTGGTAGAGCACTCACTTAGCATGTGTGAGGCCCTGGGTTCAATTCTCAGCATCACATAAATTAAAGGTCCATTGACAACTAAAAAAATATTTAAAAAAAATAAAAAATAAAGTTCAAAGGTGACCTACATTTTTTTTTTCAAAGCAAGTCTGCTTAATTTATTTGTGATGAAAGGCAAATTGGAACTTACTGTGTAAGATTCGCCTTCTGCTCTTCAATGCAAATCCTCAGTCCAGCGCCAAGCTCTCAAGGACTGACCTTCCTTTCCCCTGAGATCCTATGCCTGTCTCCCCGTAAGCTGGCACTGTACCTTTCCGACAGACATTTGAAGTTCACGTTGCTGTTGGCACTTAGCCCACAGACTCACTGGTTTCTTAAAAATTTTGAAATGCCCATCTTTACAGACATTTAAACAAATATGAAATCATTATGAACATTATACAACATAGAAAGGTATAATGAAGAAAAGTAATCTTCAGTGTCACTTAAATATAAATGTAAAAAACTTGACATTCACATCCATTCTTTCTGTGCACATATGCATATGATCATCATCATCTTTCTATTTCACTTAATGTTAAATTAAGGCTGAACATTTTTCTATTTTATTAAGTATTATTTGAGAGCATCATTGTTAATGGCAATGTAATATTTCAGTCCATTGCTGTTCCATAATTCATTAGATCATCTTCTTGTTATCAGATGTTTAGGTTTCTAGCCTTCCTGCTGTAGAAACACTATGATGCCCCTGTTTGTCTTTCTGTTGGGGTATCCCCTTGGGGTTGGACATCCTGAACAAAACCTTTGGATTTTTCTAATATCTCTTCTCCTACTCATGCATGCAATGATTGCCTACGTAGAATACACATGCAGAAATCTTGAGGACCTGGCAGGTGAGTCAGCATACATCCCTGTCCCCAGGAAGCTCAGGACTGCCGGGGACTGTGGACGTCTGCATACTACCACTCTCCTTTCCTTATTAGCTGTGGCATGCCAGGGGCCACTCAGACAGTCTTTCTGTGCACTCTGCTGAGTGCACGTGTTTGTTGCAAACCTTTGGCAGTTGGTAGATGGAAA